TTTTAGCTACATTATTCACAGATTATTTTTCAAGTTTCGCATTTGAAGATTGTAATGACTTACGACAAAAGTTGCCTATGCAGGTCCACGTCGTCGTATAGACCCAAATGTAACGGCTAAATTCGGTATTTATAAGATTTCAACCGAATTTTTAGCGGATTTTATTTTTTCAAAATTGCTTAATTCGTTCTAAATGGTGGAGGGTGTTCAAAGTTCGACCCGACCGAACTTACAGCTTTTTTACTTGTTTTTTTTTTATAAAAAAACGTTTATCAAGTGGTAGGACAGTCTTACTCCTTTGTAAACATTGCTATTCATTGCTATCCCCTGATTTTCCACAAATAAATAAACCTTGTTTTTATACGAACAGCAATGATAGAATCCATCACATAAATTCCAGCTCTATTTCAATATATTTTGAGGAAGAATATAATTTATGAAGAACTTAATTCGGTTTTTACCCCATTATATCCATTTAGCGATGTCCTTCCATCTGTTGTAATTACGCTATCTTTCGAAATCATTAGTCAGATTAATTTCGTTTTCGTATATTCCTCCTGATTTTCGGTATTCTGGGGGAGCAAGTTCAGTGTTACGGCTATGCTCGGAAATTTTTATCACATGTAGGTATTTTTAACCTGATTACGGCAAAGTAATTTCTTATACCCGGGATAATTTTACTCGGTTTACTCGGATACAAAATACGGGTTTCATACGGTTCTATAAAATTGGTGTAATTTGAAAGTTCATAGAAATAGTGGTGATGTTGTGTGGACCGTTTCCGGAGTAATATAAGAACATTAATATTTTTCTACTGAAACTTTTTAAAAAATCCCCTAAAAAGTCGAAAATGTATAAATGCAAGTATATAATGAAATTAAGGTTTTCTCAATATGTGTCTGGTCATTATAGGTTTTAAAGTAGCCGGCCTCCGACCAGGGCTTGCGATTTTCTCCTTTGGGTCTTCGACTTTAAAGTCAATATCTTCGGAACTGCAAAGCTATAAAAAATCTCAATTTCATGATTTTATCACTAATATTTTCGGAACTATACGAGGTATCAGCACACATGGCACCATTTTGGAAAGTCATGAGTTTAGGCTATAATGTATCATGTAGATTTAAGTACCCCATAATGGGTTTACTTTAGCCTTTTTACGGGTTTTCCTAAAAGTTCCGGTACAAAAATACACATTTTTTTATAATACTCCAGAACCGGTTCAAAAACACGACGTATGACCATTTGTTGGATAGCTATTTCCATATTGTATTTCAAATGATACACATATTGTAGGATCGAATAAAACCCGAATTTTTTATCCGTCAATATCTTCGGAACTGCAAAGCTATAAAAAATCTCAATTTCATGATTTTATCACTAATATTTTCGGAACTATACGAGGTATCAGCACACATGGCACCATTTTGGAAAGTCATGAGTTTAGGCTATAATGTATCATGTAGATTTAAGTACCCCATAATGGGTTTACTTTAGCCTTTTTACGGGTTTTCCTAAAAGTTCCAGTACAAAAACACACATTTTCTTGTAATACTCCAGAACCGGTTCAAAAACACGACGTATGGCCATTTGTTGAATAGCTATTTCCATATTGTATTTCAAATGATACACATATTGTAGGATCGAATAAAACCCGAATTTGTTATCCGATCTTTCGGATCGAACAACCGGGTATTTTCCGCACGAAAAAATTACGTTGCCGTAACTATTGTGACAGATTACTGCTATATAGGTTCTATAGGTTCACGTTTTCCTGTAAAATTTGAATTGTAGAGTTTGTAATAGGTTCTGTCTGCTGTGGCAGAAGGTGGAATAGGCCCATGATTTCGTATATCACTCATTATGGGGTACTTCCGAATTTTTGGTATTTTTGTGATTTTTGGCCACATTTTTAATAGATTTAAATCGACTTGACGGTATTTTTACGACTTTATAGCAACATAACCAAAAGTGAAAGTGGGCCCAATATTCAATCTCGATACCTTTAGTTTTATAGGTTTTCTTTACCCCATGATGGAGGATATTAAAAGTTCGGGCCGGCCGAACTAAAAATTGTTTTGCTTGTTCTTTTTCGGGCTGTTTACGTTCTATGTACCTACTTAAAATTACAACAAAAACTTTGTAACAAAATAAAATATGTTTTATGTTGTATCCTTTAAACCCAAATATGTAAAATACGAAAAATTCAACCAATTCAAATTTTGAGTTATATTACTTTAAACATATTTAATCAGAAAAGGACTTGGACTTCAGAAATGTCAGAGAATGGTCCGTTCTTATATCTCTTCTTTATAGTCCAGTTATGTTATCCCTTACTTCAGGAAAAATAAAGGATAAAATTCACATTATTGGGTTTCATTATTACATCTTTCCATTTTTTTAGAGATATGACACTAAAATGAGCAATCATTTGTAAATGTCATTTGTAGGGTTTAATATTTAAAAATTATGTTTTAGAGCGCCATCTACTCTTGAAAGAACTAATTATATACTGTACAACAAAATATTTTTGAAAAGTGGTGATTGTCTATAATTAAATGAATTCTACAATTTTCGAATATTTAACTAAATTTTTGTACAGTACTATACAATAAATGTTATAGGAAAGTTGGTTCATATAACAAGAGGGAATATTTAGCAAAGACATATAATTTATAAAGATGGGACTTTGATGGGACATTTCATAGATGGCGTTTGATTCCGCTGGTACTGGAAAAATATGTTGTCGCCATATCCTGACATAACATTATGTTATAATCTAACCGACCTGTTGGTTTTACAGATATTTCGCTAATTTGTACACCCTCCTCCATTCTACGGATGCTACATTAGCTTTGTCATTACGTTTATAACTCCTCGAAATATTCATGATAGACCCTACAAAGTGTATACATAATAGATCAGCGTAAAATTCTAAGACGATCTAGCAATGTTAGTCCGTCTATCCGTCTGTCTGTTGTAACACGCTATCTTTCGAGCGATTTGCCTAAAATTTAGCATTCATGCATAGTTTTCTAATAGGCAGGTTAAGTTTGTAAATGGGCCATGTCGATCCACGTTTTCGTATAGCCCCCATATAACGGTACCTCCCGGTATTAGGTATTTTCACGATTTTAGGGACATTATTTACCGGAATTTCGTATTTGAAATTCGTAATGGGTACTACATCCTATGACAAAAATGTTTGTATGCAACACGTTTCCGTACAACCCCATATAAAGGTAGCTCCCGATATTCGGCATTTTGATGATTTCAGCAACATTACTCACCGGAATAGTTTTAAATTTCTTATTGGAAAATATTAATGGGTACTGCGACCTATGGGACAAGAAAATTAATATACAGTTCCACATATTCGTAGAGTCCCCATTTCTAAGCCACTTGTCCGACAGCTGTTAAATTTATTTCAGTGACAGTTCATTATATTGTTTACAAGCGTACAAAAGCATATCGGTGATAATTTTCCAGAAAAATAATTATTCGTGTTGGAATTCAAGTGTGATAGTGTGATTTCTTTATATTTGGCTGGAAAACAATAAGTGGTTATCGTTAGAGCACTCCAGCATTTAAAGAAAACAGCAACATCAGCAGAAATGGTTCGAAAAGTAAAGAAGCGACATGATCGAAACCCGCATCCCAGTGGCCGAAAAATGGCTCGTGAGCTGAACATATCGCAATATTCCATTCGGCAAATATTGAAAAATGAGTTCGGGGTAAATCCATTGGAATTCCAAAAAGTGCAACAACTTACACCAGAACAGAAAGAAAATAGACTCAAAAGAGCTAAAGAGTCTCCGATGAGAGAACATTCGTTGTCCAGTAGTTTATAAACAAACAAAATGATCGTATTTATTTGTCAAAAAGGTCGGCTAAAAATGTGCACCATCGGTTGGCCATCAGAACTCAAACGCCGGCCATGGTGATGGTGTGGGCCGCCATAACAGCCGATGGTCGCTGTCCGCTCGTATTAATCGACACTGGCATCAGAATAAATACCGAATATTATCGCGAAAATATTCTGAAGGGCGTATTAAAGCCTTGGGCACACAAACATTTTGGCCGCAGACCTAGGACATTCCAAAAGGACTCAGCGCACGCCACCCAAAAATTTTTGCAAAATGAGGTTCCTCGCTTCATTTCCAGCGCACAATAACCACCAAAATCTCCGGATACCAATCCGTTTGACTATTTTGCCTGGAGCATTTTCGAAAGCTAGGTTGGCACTAAAAAATAACAAAGTACCGATCACTTCAAGCAAGTGATTCGCCGGGAATGGGCCAAAATATCGCAGAACAACATTCGGGCAGGGTGTGCCGTTTGAAGGCCATACTTCGTGCCAAAGGTGACCAATTCGAACAAATCTAGACTTATTCTAAAATTTGATGCTATTTCCGACATTGTTTCCTTTTTCTCATTAAAATTTAAAAAAAATATATAGAAATTAAAGCGTTTGACTTTGTTGCAGTTTTTTATCTCACCCTGTATATCAAACTTATTTTCCAACCTTGAATCTTTTACATTTTAAGTTTTCTGAGGATTATGATTTTTTTGTGTGGGGGGTTGTATTTTGGGTATAACGGCCATAGTACTCATAATTGCAATGGGGATTATGTCCAAAACGGTTGGGAATATAAGCCCTATTATGGTTTAGGTATTACGGCAAAGTAATTTTTTCTTCGGGCACCGTTTATAGATCTATGGCTGCAACTGGATTCGGACAGAATTAACAATCAAATGTATTCAAGGAAGGAAAATTGTATTCACTTTTACTTAAACCATTTATTGGTTTGAATATAAATTGAGAGAACAACTCATTAGGATTTGTATGGCGGCAAAGTTTTATATTTGATTCATGTCAAAAATTTCAAATATTTCACCATACTCAAATATATAGTCTTTACTGTATGTGGAAAACTACTGCGCAGAATCGTAACTTATCCTTTTTATGCTACTTCCATGGCATTACCGCTACTCATTCGTAAACGTAAACATAATATAGTATGCAAAGGATATGGCTAAAAACAAAGCACCCACAACACGAGGAGAAGCTGGGAATCAAAACATAAACGACCTAAAACTATTCCCCTTTTGTTTGGACCAAAACAGACAAAGAAAGAAGGTGGACAAACAATTGCAATAAACCAATTAGAATACACATAAAAAGGCGACAATGAAAAAGTGAAACAGCATAGAAATCTCGTAATCTTCAAAATCTAAAATCGAAAAAAATCAAAAACAAACAAAAGTTCCAATAGTTCCCGAGCAAAAGCCATAAAAATAAGACCAACAAAATGCTGCATGCCTTCAAAAGAAAATTTCGAACAATTTTGCAACGTTGTATCCTATTGGCCATACTGGCGACCATTTTTATGCTAATTGTGTCCTACATGAATTTGGAGTTTTGTTATAAAATTATGTCACAGAATAGCCTCACCTATATGGTATGGAGGATGTGTTGGGTGTGCTTCCGCATTTTATTTATCAAAAAAATATTTCCATTTTTCCAGTGTAAAAAATATAAAAACTACGAATACAGTGGCACCCTGTGCGAAGAGTTGTGTACCAATGAGCAATCCTTTAAATCCTTCAAATGTCCCCAGGCAGATATGGGTACCATCATGTTTACAGCTGAGAAGAACGGTGATGTCTATGCGGTTAAGGTGTGTGGTGTAATGGGGAGAGTATGGAGAATATTTAATCATGTTTTGAATGTCCTTTTGTAGCTGGCCCGCCACATTAAAGATGACCTTAGTTGGATAGATAGCCGAGGCATGCAAGTGTATCCGAAAATTGAAAACTTCCATCACATTGTTAAGATGCACATTACCCTTACGTATAATGTGACCTTGGATGATAATATGGTAAGTTGGCGCCGGTTTTGATCTTTATCGAAATCTGAAACGAGAGATTTCGAAAAAAATCGCATTTCCGCATAAATCGACATACAAAGTACGGAACACTGATTGAAACCTTATAACTGGTTTAAGCATTATTAACAGACGTATGGTCGCTAATATCATCAAAATACCGAATAAAGGGAGTTACCGCTGTATGAAGGCTATAGAAAGACGTGTACCTGCATAGACAATTTTCCGTCATGGGTTGTAAAACCCATTACGAACTTCAGATACTAATTTAAGTACTCAGAGGGAACTCCTTGTGTGGATTTTCAGACAATTCCATTTTTCTACAATTATTAAAATACCAAATATCGGGAAGAACCGTTATATAAGAGATATACGATGTCGTGGATCTATATAGACAAATCTCTTTAAAAGGGTAAAGTCTTCACAGAGAACTTCTTTTGTAGATTTAAGACGATTCCATTGAAAAATGTGGTTAAAATCAGAGGACAGCATTTTTTTTGGCTTAATATCATTATTTGATTCTAGCGTGTTTACGTTACTATAGTTAGTTATACAGGGTTGCCCATATTCGACGGACCCATGACTCTTTGGGCCCATTCCAATCGACGAGGCTTGTCCGCAGTCAACATTCTTTGCGTCAATTGAATTTTGTACGGAAACAAATGCAAATCAATGCGAATAATCCGTGTCCGAGCCATGTCCAACTGCTGAGAACGGCGTTTTTGGGATGTTCTTGGGGACCTCTCAACACTGGCTCGTACGGCAGCGACATTCTCGGCCGATCGCCTTGGTCGACTTTTATATGGCCTCTTCGGATTAGAAAGAGCCTTATCAGTCGAAAATTTTTCGTATAAACGCTTAATGGTGTTCTTAGAAGGCGCACTTCTCACATTTTTTAATGTTTTAAAAGCACGTTGAGTTTTCACAATTGACCTCTTCTGTTGAATGTAAATTTCAACTATTTCGCGTGGCGTGTATTGGTTCATGGTTAAAATCTGCTTGGACTGACGCTTCAAACGCGGTATGTCATTAAGCGATGTGACATCTCTGTCAAAAGTTATGGCGTTGCCAGATGGGTCCGTCGAATATGCACAACCCTGTATTTAGTTGTTCCAAAGGTATTACATTTAACTAAATTTGGTATTGTGTGAGCAGATACAGCGCAAACCGTAAAATTTTGTATTGCGATAACTGTTGGTGTCTAGGATGGAGAGATATAAACTGTTTTGGATATGAGTACTAAATGTTTCTAAATTTGGTATTGGGTGAAAGGATAAAGCAGAAATACTGAAATTTCACATTGAGTCACTCTTGGTTTCTAGAGTCTACATATGGAGAGTTTGAAATTGTTTTGGGCAGAAAATCGGTAAATTTCAAAATGAAAGAATTTAAAGACTTCTTAGCAGAGAGCGTAAACTTTTTCCTATTATTCTTTCCAAAAAAAAAAGAAAATATTGAATAATATATAAACCCTTCAACGTCTGAGAATTTAGTACGATGCATGATGTTTTGATTTAAAAATTTTATCATATAATATTTTGCATTTTGAGTATTAAAAAAGCCTAACACAAATTGTTGGAACGAATTTCAAATTTTAAGGTGGACTTTTCGCTGATAAGATAGCGAGTCCTTGCTAGCATATATAAACTGTGGAACTTTGGCATCGGTTAAAAAAAAAACTACAAAAATATCCTCCACGATTTGGAACAAATTTTGAAATTTTCCAAAAAATAAAATCCGTTTAAAATTTTGTTAAGGTCTTAAAAATACCAAATATAGCCGTTATATTGCGGTCTCTACGACGTGAACCTACATAGGCTTTGCTTGTCATAAGCCATTACAATATTCAAATTCGAAACTTGAAATAAACGGTGAATAATGTAGCTAAAATCATCAAAATGCCGTATATAGGGAGGTAGCGTTATATCGGAGCTATACGAAGACGTGGACCTGCATAGACAACTTTCTGTCGCAGGCTGTAGCATTCATTACAAACTTCAAATACGACATCTCAAACAATTTCGGTGAGTATTGTACCTCAAATCGTTAAAATACCGAATATCTGGAGGTACTGATATATGGGGTCTATTCGAAGACCTGGACCTACATACACAATTTTCTGTCATGGAATGTAGTTCCCATTACGAACTCTAAATGAGTAATTTGAAACTACTCCGGTGAATGATGACGCTAAAATTACCAAAATAAGGAATATTGGGAGATACCGTTATATGGGGGCTATATGAAAACGTGGACCTACATGGCCCATTTACGAACTTAACCTGCCTACTGGCAAAATAAACATGTGTGCAAAATTAGCCTTCTATCTCAATTCGTTCGATAGATAGCGTGATTACAACAGACAGACAGACACACATGCAGACAGGCGGACATTGCTAAATCGACTTAGAATTTTACGCTGATCAAAAATACATCAATAATATATATATATATATATATATATATATATATATATATATACATATACATATATATATCCATGGTATGGTGAAGGGTATAAAACTGAACGGCAATATGCATTTTGTCCCATCTTATACAAGATTTATACAACAAAGCTTTTCTTATTGGTTTAAAACTGTGAGAAGCTCCTAAAAGTATACTATGAAACACTGAAGATAAATGTGAAAAATGTCACATTACATTCATGGCAGAAGAATACAGGTAGTCGCGTCGGCACAGCTGCTGGGACAATGAACTGTCAAACCAAATTTGAAATTGAAATTTTTAAATGAAAATTTATTCAAATTTGTAACAAATGTTCAATAATGCATGTTACAATAACCTCTTATTGGTGTCGTATTAGAAAACATATAAAAATCGCCTTATTTTTGAAAATACATTTCAAAAATTTTGACATATCACTGTATTCATGCGTTGATGCATCTACCTATCGTCTTCTACCATGATTACTTTTAGAACTTACATGATGTGGAATAATTTTTAAACACTCATTATACCCTACAACACTGTGTGTTGGAGGTATTATAAGTTTGATTGGGCCAAAATTATGTAACACCACGAAATATTGATTTCCCACATAGGAAAGTATATATGGATCTTCCTATCTCGCCGAGCTGAGTCGATCTAGCTATGAATGTCCGTCCGTCCGTCTGTCCATGTTAATTTGTAATCACTCTACAGGTCGCAATTATGGTCCGATCCTCACGAAATTGAAAATGGAGGTCACAATTATAGACCAATCACAATTATAGACCAATCGAAGCGAAAATTGATATGGGGCTATAGCTTTGGGCTGGGCAGAAGCCTTCCAATTTTGGTCATCGGGTAGCATTTAGTGGTTGAAATAGACCATAGCATTTGTGTTAAATAAAAGTCAAATTTCCCATTAAACCACGAATATTTTTAATGCCGGCGAAATCACAAATAGACGAACAGGTCAATTCTGACCGTTACATAGATACCGATAGTAAAAATATCGGATATATATAGCGAAATATATACAATGTATATATACAAAGGAAGGGGATGTTAGCTAGAATGCTTATACCTCCAGAATGGCTGGAGCGATTTTGAGAAATTTTGTCAATTCAGAATGCCCTCTTGGCATAAAAGTATAAAATCTAAAAAATCGCATAAAATGATACCAATAATGATGTTAATAGATTTTGTAGTATTTTGTGACATTTTTTCAATTTGACTTATAATATTCAAGTGTACATTTTGTAGTATTTTTTCACCTTACAACACAGGTTGGGGTTATTATATACAGATTGCAATTATCGTCCGATCCTCACGAAAATTGTCATAAGGTTAGTTTTAGGCTCAGAATGGCTAGGCCTATTGTTTTCAAAGATGCCCGCAATATATTTAGGGTTTAAATGGACCAACAACTAAAAATTTTTCTGATTTTGCAGCCGTTTGTGAGAAAAAAAAACAAAAATTTACATTTTACTGAAACGTTGAAAATAGTTTACAGACGATGTCCATATACACAAAAAGGCGAACTATTGGTTTTTTGTGCTGATTTCGTTGTCGAATATATCCAAATATCATAGACAAGCAAATCATATAGATGGGTCTTAATTCATAGATACAGAGGGGTCTCTTGCTTTTGGAGATGATCGAAAAATATTTAGGGGTTCGAATGTACCAAAAACAGAAAAATTTTCCTTATCACACAATTGAAACCAATTTTGCATGAGAAGAGAGTAAAGGACAGGGAAGAAGTGTAGCATTTTGGATGACCATCGGATTATATTTAACTGTAACTAACAGGACGACGGTTTGCGTAAGTATTAGGCAAATGTCCCTAGTCAAAAGGGTCTATGACACAATTTCAAAAGCGAAATCTTCCAAAATGAATTTGGACATAAGGGGAATTCTACCATTATGTAGTGTTGTAGGGTATCACATGGTCGGCCCCGCACGACTATAGCCTTTGCTTACTTATTTTCTTACCGATTCGCTATATTTTACTGGACTTTTAGATAAACCATAGTAGAATTAAGAAGGTAACCTCATTTCAAATATGGATATCCAGATCTGAATTTTTTGTAATTTACCTTGTCAAATTAAAATGAATCGAAAATATGTTGCCATTTCCGATTTGCGTATATTCAATGGATTTTTAAATATATATATATTTTGAAAAAATAGTAAACATATGATTACACTAGGTTACCTTCTTAATTCTCCCATGGGCTAAACAAACCTTTTTTTGTTATAGTAAATTTAGTAAAATACGTTTTTCATGGATACCAGATAACACTAAAATTACATTTCTTTATTTTAGATTAAAGCCCTGGTCAATCAGGAAATCGACAAAAATAATCCCCAACAAATGCTGAATTTCTGGCGTCTCTTTAAGGACAATAACTATATGATGAGCAAACTCTACGATGAGGATAGTCTATTTCCAACTGTGTTGGGATCGTGTGGTCCGTATTATGCTACAGAAAGTTTGAATATTTTGAAAACGGAGCAGAGTTTACTGCAATATGTGTAAGTGACTGATTGATTGATCTGGACTAGAATTTTCCAAATTGCATTTTTTCTAATTAAATTGTTCGCCGCAGATCATCGGATTGGCACAAACGTCTGAAGTATGCCTTAAGTCTAATGGAATTTGTCTTTAAAATGGATGAGATGAAACCAGAGCCCCTGAGAATGTGTAAAATGAAAATAAGTAATTTTGGTGTGACGGGAGATAACAGGTAAATAGAAATGTCATTTTTGAATATATTTTTAGTTTGATAGCCCTTTAGTTTAGATCCCTAAGAATCCTTGGAAACCGCTGATTATAGTCATCGACAATATAGAAAATAAAAATACGAGTATTGTTATTAAATTTTTCAAGCGAGTCTACAAAGTAGTCTTTTTGGTCCTCTTTATACTCTCATCCATATGGCTACAGAGGGTATATATCATTTGATACAGCCAAAACGTGCCTTATCGAATAAAAACGGTTTTAGACCCTAGGTCTGAATCAAATCCGTTTCAGGATATTTGGAGTCGATCTAGCGATGTCCGTCTGTCTGTCTGGCTGGCTGGTGCGCAGTACAACTCTCGAAGGAATTATCCGATTCGGCCCAAACTTTGTAAATCGTAAAATTATCCCACATAATTATCTCCCCCACAAAAGGTCGAAATTTTCACTAAAATATTTTACTGCACAAAAAAAGGAAGGATAATCCGACAGTGCTTCAACTCTGCAAATCTTAATATTTCTATCAGTGCCACGTCAGGTGCGAAAATGGAAAATATCAGTCCACTCTATCAAGTACCTGTGATGTGATGCAAGAGTCCGATTGTCTTCAACCAAGGTCTGGTGTGAAGATGGAATATATCGGTTCACTTCTTCCGGCACCTCCTCCACAAAGAGTCAACATTTTGAAAATCCATGAAGCTCATGAAACACGAAATTAAAATTCGATTCCATTCAGACGTGGCACACACCAATATTTCCATCAACACAAGATCTGTTATAAATATGATAGAGATCGCAACATTTCTTCTGGTACCTCCCCCACAAAGGATCAAAATTTTGAATAACGAAAACGATCCAAAATTCCGAAATAAACATCCGGTTCTCTTCATATTTCATACATCCCATTATTTATACTAATACAAGATCTGCAGTGAAGATGGGATATATCGCTCCATTCCCTCTGGTACCTCCCCCATAAAGGGTCAAAATTTTGAATACCCATGTAGCTCATAAGTGTGAATCGGATGTTAATCCGATTTCATTCGGACTTTCCACATCATAATATTTCTATCTACACAAAATCTATTATAAATATGGTAGAAATCGGAACATTCCTTCTGTCACCTCCCCCACAAAGGATCAAAATTTTGAATATCAATGGCGCTCATAAAATGCAAAATTAACATCAGATTCCATTCAGACTTGGTACATCTCAATATTTCTATCAACACAGGATCTGTTATCAAGATGGCAGGGATCGGACCGTATCTTCTGGTATCTCCCCCACATAGGGTTCAAGATTTTGAAAAACCAAACGCCCAAATTAGCATCCAACTCTCTTCAAATTTCACACACACAAACATTTTTGCTAACAAAAGATCTGTTGATGATATGTATCTGCGGACTCCTTCTGGTACAAAATGGTCAATATTGGTCCTTTCCTTCGGAACCTACGTCATAGGATGCTCAACAATTATAATTACTCATAACAGAAGTCAAAATTTAATAAAATCATAGAACATTGACTAAGGGTATACATCTGTCGGCTAAACCGACTTATACTTTTTAAATTGATAAAGACTAAGGAAACTGAAGACAAGAGGGGACTTAGGTTACCATGGACTTCGCTAGGCTAATGTTGACCAACATCATCTGCGTGACAGATTTGTTTTCCTTTTATGATATAAAAATTAATAACATAATCCCTTTTATTTCATTTCAGAATCAAATATGAAAATGCTGAACACGTCTATGTAGAAACGAAAATCGACAAACGTTTATCGGATGGTTCACCCTGTGAAGAGGATGCCGATTGTAATTTCCACTATTGCATGGGCAAATGTGATACCAAAACATCCACATGCAACGGTGTACAACAAAATAATAATCTACAAATATTCTGTGATAAAATTCTCAAAGGTGGTGGTCTCTTTCCAGGACTACTGGCTTCGGCCAAAACACCCAAGAATCTAATGAAAATGGTCAAAAATTGCATTGATCCATCCAAGTTTAGTAATCTGCATGTGGCCGGTCGATCGTATGCTCCCAACACAGAATTGGCCCTACGTTTGTACAATGAAATGAAACGTTTGCACAAGGTCGACTCCAAGGAGGCGGTGGTGGGCACCAATTAAAACAAATCAATTGAAATTAAAGAGCAATACAATGACAACAATTCCTTTTAGCAGAGAAACAATGGACGTGGGGAGGGGTTTGGCTCAAAGCCATTTAATAACCCCTTATCTCATGCATTCGATCAACAATTATGAAACAGCAACACATATGTTGTAATCTACTTTATCATGAAATACTTTAATTATTCTATGAAGAATATTGAAAAACAACCCTCCTTAATATTTTAATTAGGTTTAGTATAGTGCAACTAGAAAAGTCTAATCTTAACGCTCACCTTTTTTAACGGCTATTATAAGAACAAATGAATAAATAAATCGCATAAGAAATCATGTTACAACGGATCATCATTGATTTTAACTGTTAATAGGCTATGATTTTGGCCACCATAATATTTTATAGATCTTAGTAAAGATATAAATCGGGTATATCGGAATAGAGTCTATAAAATCTCAGGTTACAAAATTTTATAGATTTGTGGCTTAGTTTGATCCGAACTTCTATCGATCTATATATACAATGTTCCACCATAGCGAACTACAAATACCAATTTTTAGACAAATCCGTAAAAAAATGTGGTAAAACCGTCAAAATCGGGAGGTACCGTTATATTGGAGCTATACGAAAACGTGGAGCTATATAAGCAATATTCTATCACCGAAGCTGGAACCTAATACAAACAACAAATACTATTTATTAGACAAACCCTTGAAAACATGTGGCAATAATCATAAAAATACCGAATATCGGTAGGTACCTTTATATGTGTGCTATACGAAAAAGTGCACCCATATATTCACTGTTCCGCCATTAGAGCTAGAACCCATAAGGAACTACACATACCAATTCGTAGACAAATTGGTGGAAAATGTGGATAAAATCATCAAAATACCGAATATCGGGGCCTATCCCGAAACGGGGACTGATATATCACATTTGCAATACTTACCATCCCAGACACAATACAAACTACTGCGCATCAAACAATGTGGGCTGTATCGTTATTTCAACAGACGGACATCGTTAAATCGACTTAGAATTTTTTGCCGTTCATGAATACTTTATGGGGTCTAGGGCGCATATTTAGAAGTGTTACAAAACGCAATGACAATTTTCATATACCCTCCTGTCCAAGGTGGAGGGTATAAATGATTATTTTCATAGTCTAATGTTCTATGCCGATTTATGCTTGTCCGAGAAAGTAATTTCAGTTCAAGTTTAAACCGCACTTAAGCCTTAAAACAAATTTAGTGACAAAATGATTACTTTACATATAACGTTTAAAAACTGTCCGAAGCGCCTAAAAGTATGCAACAACAATGCTCCAAAAATGGTAAAGAAAAAGTGCCTATATCTTACACCGCATTGTGGTCAGGGTATTATGTTTTTGTGCATTTGTTGCGAGAAGGAAGCGAGATAGACCCATAGTTCCTTTTGATCGTCTGCATAGAATCACATTCTGAGTCGATTTATGCATGTTCGTGTATTTTTGTAAACAAAATACAGGTCGCATCAATGCCCGATTGAGATGAAAATTTGCGCAAATCATTTGTCTGGTCGCAGGACGAACCCTATAGAAATTAGAGATAATCGGTCAAAATTTAGATGTAGCTCCCATATATATCTTCGTCCGATTTACATTTCAATGTGCACAAAATGTGTAATATTAGTCCAAATAGGATAAAATTTAGCATGTAAAAACAAATTCATTGCTGAAATAAGTATGTTAATTTCTTTGGAAATCGGTTCAGATATAACTATAGCTCTCATATATATTTTTAATCCGATTTGTTATTTGTGTCCTCCACAGCCGTTATATGAACTCAGTAATACTGATATTCGGAGAAATACATCAAATATAGCTCATAAATAGTTTTCTCAAATTTTATCGAGATCGGTTCAGATATAAATATAGCCACTCGTCCGATAGCTGTTAAAACTATTTTAGTGACAGCTCATTATATTGTTTAGAAGCGTACAAAAGCATTTTGATGAGAATTTTCCAGGAAAAAGTTATTCGTGGTGGAATTCAAGCGTGGATTTCAATTCGAACAAATCTAAACTTATTCTAAAATTTGATGCTATTTCCGACATATTTTGCTTTAAAAAAATGTTAAAATTATGGCGTTTGACTTTGTTACACTTTTTTATATCACCCTGTATATTTCATCCGATGTTGTATTTAAGTCCCACACACCCCTAAAATGCTAACCACAACCGTTGGCGCCAGCTATCTGATAAAGCAAATAAATACCTCTGCTAAATTTTACAGAGATCGGTTCAGGTTTTGGATATAGCTCCATATATATGTACATCCGATTTCACGTTTATTGGGGCTAAATCAACTACCAACTAAAATAAAATTGATTTTGATGAATATCGGTTCAAACAAAAATGCCTCCGTAAACTTAGTAGAAATCGATTTAAATGTACCAAGTCGGCCCCGCTCGACTTAAGCCTTTCTTTACTATTTTTCACTTTACGTATATATGACTTACAGATGATAAATATACAACTTCGAATGGATTTAGGTTCAACCTAATTCTTGCGTCGCTTACAAAAACACTCACCTCCTTTTTCCAAAAAAACACAACATTCATATCTCCATTGAAAACACTTACCGATATTCGATATTTTAATGATTTGTGTCACACTTTCCACTGAAATTATTTTACATTTAATATTTGAAAGTCGTAACGGGTACAACCTCCTATGACAGAAAATTGGCTAGAGTCCTCGTCTTTTTGCGACATCGTTCAACGGAATATTTCAAAGTTGCTGTTTGGTATTGCCAATGCATATTATCTTCTCTGATGGAAAATTATCTAAATAGGCCCACTTTTTCGTATAGCGTCCACATAATTGGACGTAACGATATTCTGCACTTTTCACTTTTCAGTGGGCTGATTTCAAATTTGATATTAGAATTTCGTAATGGGTACCTCTTTCTGCTAGTGAAAATTACATCCTCGAATATCCCTCATACAATGGAACCTTCCGATATTCTGTTTAAAAGGAGACAGGACATTTAAGCAAACACATGTAATTCAGATAAGTGCATGCAATATTTATTTGAATTGGTAGAACGGTCCATATAATAAATTCGGCCCAATTACGGTTGTCGTTACTATGGTCGTCGTCGACTTTATGTGAGAGTCGCCCTCGCCGTCGCTTCGATTCAAAAATGGTATTATGGCAAGGCATAGAAGCGACATCGACAGTTTAAAATAAAAGTTGGCAACAAATAAAAAACGTTGGCAACACTCCCCTGTTATTGACAAAAAAAAAGATATTTTTTTGGTACTTTGAATTCTAAATTCGCTCTTTCGGAAAAATAAAAAATATAGTGAAAAAATGAAGATTATAAATACGTTACATATCTTAAGTTCAAGTGAAAATGAAGAGAAGATTGTATTAGTAGTGCAGCGGCGAGTGTTAAGGCAGCCAACAAACATATTTGCATTGCCTGGCCCTTGATTGTGTTGTTACAAAAGTGTTCAATAGTTTCTACTTTCCTTGTAGACTTTTTACCATTGTTTTTTGACCGAGAAGCTTCAATAGTAGGTTACATCAGTCTCGTCATCAGCATTGTCTACTTGCTCATTTTCATGATCTATAACGTCTATTACACTTATGTTTTCCTTATTTTCTATTCCAAGTGCACGACCTGGTGGATTCAATAATTTTTGAAACTGCATTATATTCGCGACAGACTCCTCCAAAGTCATTTGCTTAAAAATGCCACATCCATTGCTGCTGGTTTCACCCTTGTTGTGCACAAGTTTTTTTTAGTTTTAAATCTTTCCAAACCTAGAAGAATTTCAGAAAACTAACTCATAAAAACGTACAAAAATAATTTTCATTTTTACATACTTTTTGCCAGCCATCGGGGTCTCTAATCGGAGTCCCGTTTACATTTAATTTTGTAGCAATGGATTCCCAATCTGAATGAAAATTTGCTGGAACATGACCTTTGGTAAATCCTTTTGCCAAACATTGATTTTTTTTTTCAATTCGGAAACCAAAATTTCAAATTGTTTTGCTGTTGTTATTTTCGTGGTCAAACAAACATAAAATACAAAATGCTTACAATATCAACGTCGACTAAAAAGTACTATGTCGTCACAATTTTTTACGGCGACATATATTCTAAAAAATCGACTTCACGTCGACTGTTGTATCGACAATGATAATGGCAACCATTTGTCGCTATCGACAAAAAACGACAACCCTAATATCACTATTGTCGCCTCGACTTCATTTTGCGACGCCGACGATAACCGTAATAGGGCCGATTGTTTTAGGATTATTTCATGCAAATGTTAACCGCGGCTGCTCCTCGAATATTCCAAGCGCTTAGTCCAAATTTGGGCTCCTCCTAACATTTCGGCCGGTATCTCGCGAATAAATATTTCAATGTAGTCTTCCAATGCGTCGGTTGAAGCGGGCTAGGCTGCATAGCTTTACCAAAAGAATAGGTTGAAGGTGTTTAATCTCACGATCGACGCATTGATTGACGGTTAACGCCTAGTCAATTGACCGGTCCGGAACGTGAAATAAAATGTTCACCAAATTCACCTCTCCATAAGTCGATTGTTACTCGTTACCATGTGGCAACGTCTTGTTGAAACCACATTTCATTCATGCCAACAATTGCATTTTGGAGGAAAAAAAGTTGGATATCATATCATCAAAATCGACAAATCTGCATTTTTACGTATCCATTGAACAAAAAAAGTTTCGTAGCTGAACACCGTTTTTCGATTAAAAAATTTGATCTTTGCCCAACTTTCCATGAGGCCACTCTCCAAAATTTTGTGTTGCGGTAGGTCGTTGGGCTTCAATTCTTGCAACAGCTGTATTTTGAAAGGGTCATTAACACTGGTCGATACAGCTGCTACAATTTTTTTCAGTTCGTACTCTTCGTAAGCGTGTAAATTTAGTGGCAAGTTAAAGTTAAATTTGCAAGCGTTGTTGTCTTATAAGACTACTCATTTTTAAATTATAGACCAAATCGAAGATGTTCGACGGTGAAATAAAACACCGAACATGTGTGAGCTGTTTAAAGCAGTTTTACCAAAAATAGAATAGCTAAAATATCACCCTTTAAACGCCGAAAACGCCGATTTTGTTCGAACCAAAAACAATCAGAGTAAGCATTTTCTTTGAAGACCAGATGCATTTTTAATGTATATTTAACATGAATTAACTTGGTTTTTTTTTACATTTGTCATCATTACATACAAAGCCAGAGCGAAATGTTTTACGAATGTGAATTTTGTATATCCTCTTCTGTTTCAATGAATTTAGTATCTCTAAAAATTGTATTTATAAT